AGAGCAGCCAATGGCCTGGTCATGTAATCACAAACCTAACGGAGGCAGTAACTACTAGAGAGAGCCCAGGGTTCGATTTCTGTAGCAGACAAAAAGGTGGAAGAATTCATTCAACACAGCGTGCTGGTTTTTCTGTCTCTGTCTTGGTTATTTGGCTTTCTGTATTCAAATGCGGGCAAGTGCTGACTACTTTTTTAAAGTGGTTGTACTAATCCTTTTAATATACCTCTTTGGTAGTTTTACAAAAAGGATTTTTGTTGTATTGACTTTAGCCATAATTATCCATTATCTTCTAACGTGTTTATCTCTAAATAAGATAGTTTTATACATGCATTGTAAAAATCATTTTAGATCATTCGAATATTAGCAGCATATTAACTCCCACATTTTCTTTTCTGAGTTTTATTTGTTTAACCTCTTTAGCCAGATGGCTGATGTGATCCACTGTGATTCATACTGAAGAAAGCAGCATGAAGAATAGAAAATGTAGGATAATAAAGGACTGTTGTTTCCCCTGGCTGAAATCATATTGGCAATTTCATTTTTCCCTTTAGTGCTGCCTCATGATATTTTTCAAGATGATATTAAATAACATAAACCCCCCAATTGCCTTATTCTGGTCTTAAACACTGTATCATGTAGAACATAAATCAGACTTTTTCTCGTCTCTATAAATCAGTGACGTTTAAACTGGTACAATTGTTAGCACCTTTAAGACTATGATGAGTCATCTATAGAAAAATAGATTCTGTGAAACGATACTTTTTTAAAAGGCTGTGTTTGTTTGGTTAAAATGTGTAGTTTTAGAGTATGACCAGAGCATTTCACTCTTAATTTAAAATGAAATTGAACAGGTTTTTAAAACTATGGTCACAAAATAGAACCCCAAGGTAGAAAAGTAGAAATAAACTAAAATCGAAAACTTTTTGAAGTGTGAAACTCTGAAGAGATCACAATAGTACACAATAAAAAAGCTCTTTAAAAGAGAGCAGTTGTAGATTTGTCACAGGTTGTAAAACAGACTTACTCTGTAGGGTTTATGTCAGTGCAATTCATCAAGTTATGAAGGGTCTCAGCAAAAGAGGCAGTTTGTGTGGGACCCAGGTCGTGGCAGGTTAGACTTATTGGCGGAGTCACCACTGCAATTAATTGTCTTACTCGGAAATCCTGGGTAGATAGAAAATGCAACCAAGTACCTCTGAGCTGTAGACTACTGTTACAATATATGTTGGGACCATGAATCAAGGATTTTTAAGAAGAGGGAGTTTTCTGGGAATCATTTTGGCCTTTTTGAAGTCACCCTACAAACCTTTAGGTATTGTAAGTGTTTTACATATATGGCAACTTTACCTTACTTTAATTCAATGAGATGAGCTGAGGATTAAGTCCAATTAGAGATTAAGAAACTGAACCTCAGAGAGGTTTTCTCTTTGGCCCAAATGTATACATTTATGAAGTCATAAACTTAGGACTTGGATTTAGATCTGTAAGATTCCAAAGGCCCTCCTTCTCCACCATAGCTCACTCATAAATCACACTGTCTTCATGGGCAGATGCTGCCATGAAGTCTCGTTGGAAGGCAGGGAATATCCTGAGTGGCAGGTATTTGTTTCTTCCAGTGGACACTGGAGTCTTTGCTGAACTGGTGAGCGCAGTTCTCCAAATGCATCTCCATATCCATTGTCTAGTGTCCTTCCATCTCTTCCTCCCTCCATTCCTCTCTTCTCTTCAGCTAATATCGTCATCCAATATCCTGCTTCATCCTTTCCATAACATGCTAGTATACTGGAAGAGCTTAGCTCAGGAGTAGGCTCCTCCTCCAGAAGGGCAAGGACTGGGGACAAGAGAAGCAAAGACATGAATGTTGTTGCTTTCAGATGGAATGACTTCACTCAGATGCATTAGGGCAAAGTCCCAGAGCTTTCAATAGCTCATTTGAGACGTTCCTGATTTTTAGGTAATTCCAGTCTCAGATTTTACTTGTTCCCTGAGATTAGAAAGTGAAGTCACCATTTCCTCCAGAGATGTGAAGAGTAGTATATACACAATTTACTCAGGTTCACATTGATAGCAGTAATGCAGATATAATCATATTCTCCCTAAGAAAAATCTTTAATTTCCAATTAATCTTTTGTAGTCAAGTGGACTCAAAACTTTTTAAGTCTGAACTGATAACAGATTCAACAGTCCTGTGTCCTCTGACATTCACTATGCCTTAAGCAAAATTGTGTATATTCACAGTTATTTTCAGGAAATATTTTAATTCGATTCAGTATAACCCATCATTACCTTGACGTGGCTTCTACTGTTTTTAAATGTTTTATTTTCCAAGTATGATTGATTTCTACCAAGGAAATAAAGGAACTAGTATTTGATGATGCTCACTAATCACCAAATGTCTCTCTGAATGGTTTTATACACACTTAATATAATAATAATATAATTTCAAGATATATTATAATTCAACATTCAATCAAAACAATTTTAACATCTATTGTGCAAACATCTGGAGATACAAAGACAAAACATACTTGCTGCTCTGGTGATATTTTTTTCAGTTAAGATAAAGCAGATAAAGATAAAATGTTGCAGATGCTACAATGCTGTAGTAAACATGCATAATGCAATCATTCATTGAGTAAATGAATTTTTTGGCATAGTTTTAAGTACTAGAAAAATAACACTTTAAGAAACAGATAAAAATGTCCTCCCTTTCAGAGCTGACTTTCTAATGGGGACCCAAAGAGCATAAAGGATTGCTTACTTGGAGGTCACGAATGTTTTGATGTAGGAAGTGGCATTTCTTTATCTTTTTTTGGGGGGGTTGTTTGTTTGTTTGTTTGTTTGTTGTTATTTTTTTTGAGACAAGGTCTCACTATGTAGTTGAGACTGACCTGGAACTCACTATGTAGCCCAGGCTAGTCTCAAACTCACAGCGATCCTCCTGCCTCAGCCTCCTGAGTGCTGGGATTACAGGCAAGCGCCACCACGCCCGGCAAAATTTCTTTATCTTTAAAAGGACGTACAATCTCTAATTGATAGAAAAGTGGCTACTAAAAATATTTACAGCATAATTTATATATCAAAACAATTGAGTGAACATTGAAAGTAGAGCTACTTTTCAATTTGTAACTTCATACACTTGAAGCAATGCATACTGTATGTTATGGATGTCAGATTTCCTGTATCAGGGTCTTTTCTGGAGATGGCCAGTCCTAAAGCTGTCAGTTCTCTACATCTGCACTACTTCAAAAGATAAATTCATTTACAGCTAAATAAGGTAGAATGGTACGATTCATCTCAGTTGATTCAGTGGTAATGCCTTCAATTCTGTAGTGTGTTAGATCAGAACAGATTTTTCATTCTTAAATGGAAGACTCTCAAGGAGGTCAAACTGTTTTTTCTGTTTTTCAGTCTTTCAATGCCAGTGTAATCTGTGTCTTATCTGTCTTGTTCTTTCCTTGTGCTAAGATATTCACCACAAGTTCTCTATGCATTAAATATGATGCACCATAAATTAAGAAAAACCGTATCTTCATAAAATGGAATCAAGTTTGAGGCTAATTTAAAAATGAACAAAAATACATCCTCTTGTAGCCTCGAGTTTTGTTGTGAAATAAAACAAGTTAACTAGTGAATGTAGACTGCACTTCAAAAACATCAAATGCCAGAACTTTTTGAACTCCTGCAGTTGATTTTATTTATAGTAACTTCAGAGAACAGGGGGCTACATATTAGCTTCAAATATTATTTCTCCTTTTGCCATAATCTGCAACTATTCTTGTGAATGTGTATTAGCAAAAATTATTATATTATTGAGAATGCTCCTTGTAAGCCAGCTTATCTGTAAATATCTTTGTAGCCCATATCAAATTAATTGTCTTGTCACAGAATTTTCTTTTGTCATGAACTTTTTCTAAACATGCTTTATTGAAACAATTTTGTTTACTTATTGAAAGAAAGAGGTAGGTATTTGTTGTCTATCTCTGCTGGGCTCTAAAGAAATTAACCTATAAACAGTCTGTATCAAAGGGCGATGAGAAATAATAAAGATCATTATTAGCGGCTGGTAATGAAGGTCATTCCATTATGGACATATTTCATGGATAAATTATACTTCTAACCTGGTTTTCGTTTTTTTTTTAAACCATATTACCTTTGCACGTTTTTTTAAAAGTTTCAAATAATTGGATTAGTGTGTTCAAATACAAATTTCTGTGCTCTACCAACAGAGGTCTGGAAATCACACTTTCATAAAGACCAGGTTTTGGGGGAGATGGTGACCCTCGGACTTCCCATGGACAAGTCCTCTGTGATCATTCCCTAGTCAGGGCTCCATTGCTGTCCCCCTTGTCCCTCCATCAGCCTGTCGCAATGTCACATTCTTAAGTCCACAAAGCAGGAAACTTCTAGTAAAGAAAAAAGAGCTCCATAAACACCTACTGACACAGCAGCATATCCTCTCTCCTGTTATGTTTTCCCCTCGCATTCAAGATACCCTATGTACAGCATGAAGTTTTGAGTCAGAAAAGTGAGGCTTCTAATTCTTGCCTGTTATTTACTTGCTTGATGATTTGTGACTGTTTGATTTCCTTAATTAATTCTCAGCTAGTCTCTAAAATGAGCAAGGTTTGATAATATTAAATGAGATAATTAAAGTGCTCAAAACTGGAAAATAGGGATTTCTCAACAAATCAGTACCTATTTACTGTTAATAGTATTAGTAGTAATAAACAATAAAATAGTAAAGCATCTAGACAATACTCAATAATGAGTACATTATTAACATTTAATTGATTTGACCTTTTTCCTTGTGACAGGAAGATTTAAATATATAATTCTGCTTTTGTCAAGTGACAGAAAAAAGAAAACTGTCAGTGACAAATCCCTTTTGTCTGCAGTGGCCTATCTGGTTTATAACTTAGAATTGTGACTGTGAAATGTTTGTTTTGCTCCTTTGAGGATGTCTCTTCTGAGATGGGCTCATTTATTTTCCCCAGGTGATAGACTCAGTGCACATCACCTGCTGGCTGCGGCATCTCACCTGAGGGAGAGTGCTGAACTCTTTCAGTCAGACGAGATGCGACCTGCCAATGATCCCAAGGAGCGAGCCCTGGACCGCGTCCGGATGCTGAATGACATCCTCCAAGACATGGAGAAGAACTTCTTGGTGCGGCAGGTGCCACCCGGCTTTTACAGGTGGGATATGTGACTCCAAGTGTAGACTTTTTGTCCTCAGTCGATTATTCTTTAACATTTAGAAATATATA